GATCATGCGATGAAAAATGTGGAAAGACCCCAATTTTGTGGAAAGTCCCAAAACATAAGGGTAAGAGCTAAAATTTTTAAGGGTTAAAAATGTTACACGTTCTCCATTAGTCTGCGTAGAGATTCGCGATACTAGTGTTTTGCAGTGGACAACCCAAACAACGCGACTCTCGGGAAATTTCGATCTACTCCTGGAGAGGGGAACGTTGGCTGGTTGATTCTAATTGATCAAGTCTTGTCTCTTGCTTTAACTTCTGATGAATTTGTCGTTTCACAATCGGGAAAAAACTTGAAGACCTCTCTGCTTTCCATTCTAATGTGTGGCAGGCCTTCCACATTTTCAGAGCCTTTCCACATTTTCTCCAACTGGATGAAAGTCAATGAAAATTTGTTGAAAGATGATACAAAATTTGAACGGCCTAGAGAAGTGCACTATTTTTAGCATCCTTCCACAACTTGCGATTTTTTTACGGTTCCTCCGCGTTTCCAGTAGTTCTTTCAGATTTCGGCCTGAAATCTTGGAAAACCGTTCTTATTTTTCTCAATTAAAGTGAGTAGCAGGGCAATTTCGATATAATCCTTCCTCTTTTGAAGGTTGGCAACCAACATGTAAATTTCAACCTGTAGGTGAAATGTCTTCAGTTGACACTCAGATTTCCTTTTAGGTTGAGTTTAGGAGGGACATTAAAAAATAGAAGAAAGGAGTTCTCAGTATTGCATACTTTTGAAGGATACTTTAAAATAGTAAGTTCAAAGTAATTTTACAGTAGTAATTTTGAAGTGCATTATTTTTAAACAGGTGTACATTTCAATGAGATGAAGGACCTGCAAACAAAAATATCAAAAGAAAATTGTTTTGTAGTCTGTAAATAGTTCCTTTCGAGGACCTCATCATTCAAATTAGTTGGGAAAAATAATGAATCATAAAAACCAAAAATCAGTTTAACCAATCTGTATTATTCTAAATGGTTATGAGGGCGTCAAACTGTTTTGTACTAACTAACATTTGCATGTAAGAAAGCAATTAGCTTAAATAATTTTTTATATTTAATTATCTTCATTATACTAAACTGTCAGTTAGGTTATTTCAGTGGATAGAACTAATTAGATCAGACGCGACCAAGATAGGTAAACAAAATTAGAACCAGCCAATTTAAAATTTGCTCTGCCCGATGAATTTCTAAGTAATTAGATAATTATGAGAAAAATTCATTACCACAAATAACTGGCCAATTTTGTGACCAATTTTGTACTGCCCAAATTTAAATTCAAAAGGTTTGTTGATTTCTAGTTCCCAATTTAAATTTACAGTACTAAAAAAATTATGGTAGCTTCAGTATCTCTACAGGCTTAAAAAGCAAGGAACTTCATCAGGTTAGGGAAATCAGAGAAAAATCCTGGAATTTAATGAAAATAGCAGGAATTTTGAAAAATGTTGAAATTTAAAATCTGAAAAAACACCATTTTGTCCTCTCAATCAAACAGAGTCTCAGTCTGGTTCAGGATTCCCTCAGAAAAAGTATAATAGAGGAATACTATACCGGGTGTCCATAAAGTAACTGAAAAGTGGGTATAATTTTTGAACAAAAAAAGATAGAAGGTCGCGGTTTGTGGCATTCTTCATCATGCAAAAAGAGAGATTTTTCGATGGGGGGGTTTTTCTTGGTGGACCCCCCTGGGGGGCTCCAGGGGGGGCAACCTTGAGAATTCAAATAGCAACCCCCATTTTTTTAGTCATTGTTAAAAAGAACTTAAAAAGACACGAAAAATGGCGCAAAAAAAATTAAAATCGGTTCCCTCGTTCAAAAGTTACAGCTGGTCAAAATTTTAAATTGACCACTTTTCAGAAAATCGCCGTTGAGCTCCTAAGTATCGAAAAAACAAAACCAAACCAGGAATGAAAAGTTTAAAAAGTGTCTTGTAGGAAAAGGAAAAACAACTGATGTTGTCACAAGTTTGGATGGCACTGTTTCAAAATAAAATGTTGGAAAATTCAACGTTGCAGCAAATTTGAGGAAACGCAAAAAATGAAAATTCCAGAAACTGTTATCTTTTAAATACCCTCTAGTTTAAGGAAATTAATGGTATCGACCTTAATTCCTTTATCTGGCCAAGTAAGAGCAATAATTTGCTGACTTTAAAGTTGGTGTGACTGATCAAGGGAATTTAGCATACTGATTTCAGCTTTGTAAATAGTGTCACCGATCAGATAGTGCATCAGGTGTTACCTAAAGATCGATGCCTCAAATCGTGAAGTTGAATCTGTCAATAAGATAATCTCAACTCAGATAATAATCAAGAGTAGAACGGCGTTTTCGGAATTGAAAGCGTAGCAGATATCCTTCTTGCCAACTTGGAGTGCCAGGAATTAGAGAATTAAAATTATTCTTGGATTTTTAATTTTCAGAGAGAGAAATGTCAAAAATGTCAACCGCCCCCACCCCATCAGGATAAACCATGTTTTTTTTGCTCGCCAAGTTTGCAGGGGAAAAATTGCTCAATTTTTCTTTTCTTCTTTTTTATCGTTAAATTTGAGAAGGAGGACCTTGAAAATCTCTAAAGCATCCCAAAGGAGGAGTGCTTTTTCACACTGGCTTCATTTTTTGATAGTACACTTAATCCTGTGATGTTGCATACTCTACGATTGAAAGTGCCCCGCTTGACAACTTTAAAGTCAGCAAATTATTGCTCTTACTTGGCCAAAGAAAGAAATTAAAGTTGATACCATTAATTTTCTTAAACTAGAGGGTATTTAAAAGATAACAGTTTCTGGAATTTTCATTTTTTGCGTTTCCTCAAATTTGCTGCAACGTTGAATTTTCCAACATTTTATTTTGAAACAGTGCCATCCAAACTTGTGACAACATCAGTTGTTTTTCCTTTTCCTACAAGACACTTTTTAAACTTTTCATTCCTGGTTTGGTTTTGTTTTTTCGATACTTAGGAGCTCAACGGCGATTTTCTGAAAAGTGGTCAATTTAAAATTTTGACCAGCTGTAACTTTTGAACGAGGGAACCGATTTTAATTTTTTTTGCGCCATTTTTCTTGTCTTTTCAAGTTCTTTTTAACAATGACTAAAAAAATGGGGGTTGCTATTTGAATTCTCAAGGTTGCCCCCCCTGGAGCCCCCCAGGGGGGTCCACCAAGAAAAACCCCCCATCGAAAAATCTCTCTTTTTGCATGATGAAGAATGCCACAAACCGCGACCTTCTATCTTTTTTTGTTCAAAAATTATACCCACTTTTCAGTTACTTTACGGACACCCGATATAAAGGCTTTAATAGGTGTAAACACATATATGTACAAAAAAAAATAGACCAAGTTTTACATAACCAGTTTTTATACGAGGTATATACCTCGTTTAAAAACTTCATATGGCTTTATAAGCCATCGAATTTAAGTGTATGAATTTTCCATATGACTGAGAAACTCGGTTGAGGATTTCTCTACCCACACTAAACTCTGCTCATCGAGTTTCTCGGTGGTATGGGAAAATCCTTACATAAAAATTCGATGGCTGATACCTCGTGAAAACTGCATTTCTCGTAAATGACAGCCAAAATCAAACTTTTGATTTAAATATGCACAAAAACGAGAGTGCTGAGCAATATGTCCGTAAATGCACTGCTCGAATCTCTGCCGCTGAAGGCCTTCGGGTCGGCTTGAAAGTGGCGTTCGCAACTAGCCGCCAGGAGTAAAATTTGAGAGTTGCTGGGTGGCTAACGGTAGAGGGCGTGAGCCACGCTGCTAATGCGGTTCCTGCTGAAGTTTGGCATTCTGATTTGTATTGCATCTTAGAGTGTTCGAGCTTCAAGTTGGGAGTCCCAATTTGAAGCTCACCCGATTAATTGAAGCTTAATTTAAGCACATCTGATGATCGCTAACTAGCGTGAAACCGGTAGTGGCGCTAACAACAGCTGACGCCTATTTCTTTACCCACATCAGGGACCAGTTCTATAGGACCCTGGACTCCCACCGTCAATGTAAAAATTCGTGAGCAGGTACTAGTGCTACTATCTCGTGTAGGACCCTCGCAACTCACTGCTGTTATCAGTTGTTGGACTTCACAAAAATCCGTAGGATCGCGTATATCTGCCATAAATCGAATTTTTTACCCTATCATAATGTGCGGCCGGCCCCTCCTTGTCGTGAGGGGTCGGAAAACGCCAAAAATAGACTTATTTTTCAAGAATTTAGCCGCCTTATGTGATATTTTTCAATCATCGGCTTAACCTCACTTTTGGAGTGGGCGATGGATGAGTCGAGGTCCGGAGGGAAGGATCCTCTGAGTTTACTAGGGTCCTACGCGAGAATGCGCTGCAATCACCCGCTCACAACAGAAAAGCGTCCTATAGAACTCGTCCCTGCCCACACCCAACTTGCCTCAATTGAGTGTCTCGGTCGTATAGGAAAATTCATACTTAAAAATTCGATAGCTGATGCCTCGTTTAAAGTGCCTATTTTTTGCACTGAAATTGATACAAGACATTTTTCATTCTCAGTTCTGAATGTATGAATTGTTTATGTAAAAAGTTGGGTAATTTAGATTATTTTGTTCACACGGAAAACTTAGGAAAATCAAAAAATTTATTTCTGCCAAGTCTGTAGACACCCTGTTGCTTGGTTCAATTTTTTTTTGCTCTTGGCTGCTCCCATTTGTTTTAGTTTTTTTTAATGCTTATTTTTATTTTAATTGCAGTCAAAATCTAATTTCTCAGCCTGTTGTAATGCAAAAAAAGTATATATTAATGAATATAGCTTAGTCACAAAGATGCAAGGCGAAGAAATTACCACAGAGTCTGGAAGAAACACGTACATCCTATTCAGTATTTGTAGTCCAGGAAATGATATTCGACCCTCGCAATTAAAGTGAAGAGTCTCTTATTTGTGGGTGAAACTACTGAATCAAGAAATAGCAAGAAACTACCTGATAAGGTAAAATCAAAGAACATCTCTACATTTATCCATGTATTTCAAGCCCCTGTTTTTCAAAATTTCAGCTCTCAAGACAGAGGTGCGTATGCTGCAAAGAGGTATTGCCCCCCGATGCAACTCTCAAGATAGTTCTAACCAAAGTTTGTTGACTGGCGGCTACCGAACAAATGAGCAGAAAAGAGTCTTTGAGCATTATTAATGCAATTTGGTAGCAGATCTTCCTAGCTTCTCCCCCTGCTTTCCATTTGTTTGTTTGAATTCCTCTCGTGAAGTATTGGAGTGTAATATAAGTTTCCTTTGATCTCTTTCTTTACCTTGCGCAATTCTCATCTCCTATTTCATGCTTCGCTATGCTAGGATCATTGATAGTGAGTTTTGAAGTGGAGGTCATTTGGGAGGCAGAAATTTTTGACTATAGGTAGGCTGCTTTTAGATATTGCAATCTTAAAAAATCTTGAAAAAAAATCTAATTTTTCTCCAAGGACCTCAAAAAACAGAGTGTATACTACACACAGGAGCTTACAATATATGGGCAAATACAGTGTATGTTCCCATATCAAAATTCCTTGCAGAATATGTCAAGTACGTTTGAAAAGTCAAAAGCAACCGTCAAGAGAGATATAAGTGCTTTTAGTTTACCTTAGAATTAGTAAATTTAAATCTTCAGCACATGTATAAATCATAATGAACACAGCTCTTGCTGACCATTGAAAACTCAACACTTTGGCAATTGACTATATAGTTTGGTTCCACTAAAATCTCCGTTTTTCTTTGAAGTAACGTAATGATAACTGTACAGTTGTCCAAAGAAAATCAGGACCCTGAAAAAATTATTATACCGTAAAGTAACGAGCAATGAATTTAGTGCTTGAATTAACTCCATTTTGGCCAGACTTGGTTTCTGGGCAAGTGAGGAATCCTAATCCTTGAACATACTAAAGAATAATAAATTGATCTTGTTGAACTTGCAAAATGGTGTTACTATGTGGGCCATTCTAGTATTATGTAAAGTATTTTGGCCAACTTTTTGACCTCCTCTCTCCGCTTGCAAGGCACCCTTTAAACTACTTTTCACCTGCCTTTTTGAATCATGTAGCACTGGCCTAATCCTCCTCCCCATCAATTTTAAGAAAATTAACAAAGCAAGCCTGAAAAATAACTTAAGAGTTTTGAATTAGATTTTGATGAGAAACACAAAGGAAAGGAAGCCATAAGTTTAAATTTAAGTCTCTTCTACTGATGTAAATCTGTTAAAAGTACCAAATAAATATTGTTCGAAATATTTTGTATTAGTTTCTCTCGAAGAAATGGTTTAATCTGAACAGAATTAGAAGCTGTAAAATTGAAGTATAATGCAAGATGGGAAAACTTGAAATAAAACAAAACGAAAAGTTCTAAGTTGGAACTTTCCTAATTGTGTTTCATACTTTCAGTTTTCGGAAATTGCTTGTCACCCCGATAGTGAAGACAGAATTAAACTCATCCTAATTGTAATTTTGGCCAAGACCATCATCAGGTGACAATGGCGTTAGATGAAATGGCCATAGTGTAAGTTTAATGTTATTTTCATTATCGGGTGATAACAAATTTCTGAAAAGGGGTGTATGCAAAATCGGCCAAATTACCCCCCTCGTGGATTTTGACCAATTTTCAATACGTTAACCCTTCGTATAGGATGCGCCTTTCTCCAAAATCTCAAGGCCTGAAATGAATTTATTTCTGCGTAGCAGCGCTGCCAAGTTAAAAACCGTTGAGTTCCATATCTTTTGAACAACAAAAAAATTGACGTGCGGTTTGCGCTAAAATCCTTCAAATATTACGTTCTTTTGAAATATGCATTCAATTTGATCGTTAAGGTAATTTCAGATTGTAATGATGCCATTTTTCACACTTTCGTAAGGGCCAATTTTTTTTCAACCCGAGTACGTTGTCAAATGCTGGATTCTCAATTTGAACAAAAAGCTGTTCATTTTATTTGCCGTACTTTTCCGTAAATTTTGATATTTCACACCTCCCAGGGAAACAATAGGTATGCGAGATATGAGTTATCAAAGTTTACGCTTTGAGCGCGTCGTCGTCTGCACACCCCCTCCATTGCCACTAACAAGCCTCAGGAGGTTCTGCGTATTTTCCATTTCTGGTCTGGCCTTTTAAAAGGCCTAAGATAAATTTTCAGGGGCTTTAAAGTTCATTGTTGCCATTTTTGAGCCATTTTTAGGGTTTTTTTCAATTTTACCAAAGTAAAACTTAGTTCAAACTTAAAATAAAGTTAAACGTTTTATAAATAAATTCACATAAATCATATAAAAATAGGAGATAAATTATTTGAAACAAATGTTAAGTTTTGACACTAATTTTCAGAAAATGTTGAAGGAAATTAGAAAATTTTGAAAAAATTGTTAGAATGTTCTGAAATAATTTTAAGAAAGTTTTGACGGAATTTTACGATTGAAAATTTTTTATGAATACTCAACAGACATTCCAATTAAATTTTACGGATATCTTACTTGAATTTCAAAAGATATTGAGAAAAAGTATTTGACAGGGAATGATGAAAAAATATGTTAGCTATCAACACAAAGTTTCGAATACATCATTACTAGTGCTGCAACCTCGCGTAGGATCCTCGTAATTAACTGCCATTATCAGATGTTGGACTTTACAAAAATTCTGTAGGATCTTCCCTTAATCGGTGTCCTCACCTAATTTTACTGAGCGGCGGGCTTCTTTTGGCCGAGAGGCGTCGGCAAACGTCAAAAGTGCATTTTTTTCAATAATTCAGCCACCTTACAGGTTATTTTACCATTATCAGCTTTGCCTCACTCGTAGAGCGGTCAACGGATGGGTCGAGGTTCCNGGGGGGGGGGGGGGGGATCCTACGCGAGATTGCGCTGCGATCGGCAGTTCGGCGTCCTATAGAACTCGTCCCTGATCTTGTCAAATTGTTTCCCCTCCAATGAATGGTAAATATGACCAATTAAAACGGAACTTGCATCAGTTTCGTTCAGAGCCTGCTAACCAGATAAAATTAGCCAACGGTGCAAATTGCCTCTCAAGGACACCACATTTTGACAGCAGCAGCAGTAGGAATTGCACTTAACATACAACTACAATAAATAGTGAGACAAAAGGATTTGGCATGAATTCAACAGGTGGATGATGCACTTGCCGGACATTGTAGACAGCTGGGAAACATAGGAAACTTGGAGATTAGCAAAGAGATGTATGTGCCACTGATTGTGAGACGGAATGCAGTGTCTGTTTTTTGTAGTATTGACAAGTGAGAAGAGATTTCAGAAAAGCAGGATTCCACAGTGCCTAAAATTTTTTCATAGTTTTATTTCACTTGACTAATTTATTCCCTTTATTGCAGTGTTTTTTTTTATTTTTTAATCTCATTGATTTTTTAAGTGAGAATCTTATGCAAGGCTAGGCAGATACGCCTCTCCCCTCCCCGTGGAAACTAGTAAAGCAAGCTCTGCCATCCCTTCCCCCCCCCCTCTTACACTCACGTAATACTTGAACGGCCCCAATGTTCTATGTGGAATTTTTATGAAGAAATATGTATTGAGGTATGCACTTAATTTCTTGCCTTGTCTTGTGATCCGTCACTCATCCAATCTTTAGAGATCTAATAATATCACCACTGTTTCGTTCTAAGTTGTGATGATTTCAATCTGGTACGTCAAATGAAACAAATTGTGCAGCCAAAAATTTTACAAGCTTTATGTTTTTTCAAGCTGTCATCTTTGGCGACCACATCATGTTATTTAAATTGCCCTCTCGTTTTTTCATGCCAGTAGATATTAAGTGGTGACTCCTTCGAAACAATGTAAGAGGAGGGTTATTATAATTATTTTGTAGCTTTTGTCTTTCAAAAAAAAAATAATAATAATTAAAATCCTGTGAGTAGCTGATATTGATGTTTATTCTACGGTCTTTTTTTATTTTACTATCATTTTCACAAAGCAATACGGTTTTTTCCCCTCCGCTGTTCATATCTTTTCTTCATTCTTCAGTACATGAAGACTGCGAAGTGTTGCTGGTTTATGAAACATACCATTGCTGGAATCAATACAAAGTAATAAAAATATCAGTTGAAATCGATTTTTTCCCTCTGCTTTCAAAGGAGTAGTCATATTTAACTTTCCTCACATTCTGAATTCGTACTGGGTTGAATCCTAAATTTACCCAAATCCGAATCCCAAATTTTAACCTTCGAATCCTCGACTCTGAATCCGAATCCACCGCAAATCGTTCACTTTTCAGAAACTCTGCACTTTTTTCTAAATTTTTTTTCCAACGATAAGGACTAAAGGAATGAAGACCTAAAAAAAAGGACTCTTCGCGATTTTAGAACCTTTGGCAACAATCGGGAATCTTCGGAATTCGACTTCATGGCAAGAATTTTGAAATTTCAGAGGATTTGCGAATTCGTGTTTGAGCATTTTTGACACCGAATCCTGAATCCGCATCCCAACACTATTCTGAATACTCAGTGGGAATAATAAATTTAATTCATAACAATTGGTTGGGGTCAAAGAACCCGAGGAGGGAATCAGAAGACTCCTAAATGCGTTTGGTGTGTTGGTTTTAAAATGTAAACGAACTTGAGGATATTATTCTCGGCGATTATTCAGTATTAACAGCTCACTTTGATGAACTCCTTTCGGTAATGTTAGTATTCTCTTGTGTTTCCAAATGTACTTATTGAGCTAAAATCTACAGTGCGTGAGCTTATCATTCTCAGCAAAGCTGCTATCTCTTGAGCATTCTAACTGTACAATCAGTGATATTCAAGGGCTAAATGGACAGTCGCTATGTATGCGCACATAGTCAGACTGCTCGGTAGGAACTGCTTGTGTGACAGCTGCTTAATGATTCAGTACTATTAGTTCACAAATCATGAGTTTTTTTTATAAAACCAGTATTCTCTCAAATGTTCGAAGCTGATTGGTTTAGAATCAAGCTTCGTTCTGAATTTCAGTGTAAAACAATTACCTGCAGTTTTAGTGTATTTTCCGAAGGAAATACACTATTGCGTTTTTGAAAATTCAGAGTGCTATTAGAAGAATTCACTACATTTTCTGTATGCACTTAAGCTCTAATTTTCAGAATATTAACTAATAGATACTGATTTTTTTTCTGAACATGAATTTTAACCTCCCTTGTTTCCTCTTCCAAAAACTTTGAAAAACCGAAAATTATTTTATTTCTTAAACGTTCCTCATCTTTTTGAAGATGATGTGGTGTCGTGGTTTATTTGCGAATGAATATCTAGTGAAAAATTCACAAACTTAGGACAGTGAAATTCAAGAGGAATTAAAGGAGTGTAAATGGTCCTATCTGCAAAAGTGCTGCACTGTTATAACATTAATCAGTACTCCCAATTGTAAATCCTACCTTTATTTTCTTCATAATTTTCTATTAAGAGCTTAGAGTGCTAGAACTTTTTAAGATCTCCTGGTTTCAGGCTCTGCTTTGTTTAATACAGTGCTTGAGGGGAAATTGTTTTATCTTCACAGAAAGAGGCATTCTCAAATCCGTGTCTCACATACCTCGTAGAGTGAAATGTTCGAAAGTCGCCTATGGACGAAGAGATTCTAGGATAATTCTACCTAGGAGCTTACTACTCTTGACATGAGCAGCTATAGAGTAGAACTATTACTGTTTTTGCTTTCCTTATCCCGGAGGTCGGGAAAGTCATTTCCAATTTAGTCAGAAATTCTAGGTATATTTTTTCAAAGCTTCAGCAGCTTACTACAATACATAATGAGGTATGTACCTATGTCTACAGTGAAATCATGTCCTAAAAGGCTTCATTTGATTTTTGCCAACTCATATTTGCCTGAATTCACCACTTGTAATGAAAAATATGCAACTCTTTACCTCTATTCGTTCAATGCCAAACAATGAAAAACAATTTAAACTTGATTAGTCTTTGAGTCATGGAGTCCTTGATCTGAGCAAAAATCTGAGTCTTGACTTAGGTTACATGTGTGCCAGACGTTCTATGACTACTCCTTACAGTCATCATTTAGTTGCTGTATAACAATCCATCTCTTTTTTCTTCTTTTTTGTTGGGAACAAATGCATCCTCTTCAAATATTGTCTTACTATGATACAAACTGTAAAAGAAGGTTGTTATGCTTATTTGCTGCCCTGTTGAAGAAAAGCTGAGTGCCAATAAAGAACAGGCTTCAATGGAAATTGATTTTAACATAGGCCTGTTTTTATACGAAGTCATATGCACTGGTGCCTCGTTTATTCTTGTTTTTCAAA